GCAAGATTTCATTGCAACAGAATTCCAAAAACGACTGAAAACCTGACAGTTTCCGGATTTTTTTTTTGCTCATTTTTCTTCTGTTTCTTGCCTGAAAATGTAACCTCCAGCATGTCACATGAGCGGAAGAAAAGTGTGTCGCAGAAATCAGCTTTAATACGGGCGAAATATATTCCTGACATTCGCGGGATTGACAGGTATAAATACTTTCATAGGTGCGTTGTCAACCATATTACGAATTTTTCGCATGATTATTATTACTACGCCACTGCAACCATTCAACAACCCCTGCACCCTCCTCTTCTAAAATTACTATCCACGAGAGGCGGTGGTATTTGCGAAGAAGCCCAAGTGATAGCAAGTGCCCAACAACAACAACCATCCACTAAAACGGCAGTCGATGGCTCCCTTTTTCAAGAATTGCTTATAATCAAGCTGATAGCGGGTTCCACTTTAAGAAACACCCGATACTTTTATCGCCATTGATTACAATACGGCCAAGAAACAGGGATTTTAGAAGGAATATTGGCCAAGCAGTAAATATGTGGTGAATAATTGAAGGAGAACGATTTCTGTGAGCCTATTTGTGACCATGATATTTCCGACCTGGCGAACATCATTTTGTCTGATAGCTATCGTACTGGCAATGCACCACAGGTCAAAGCAACTAGAAAAGCTGGTAGATGCGTAGAAAGCTGTACGGATATAGCAGACTTAAGGGTACATTTTGCCAACAGCATCTACATGCAAAGTTCACGGAAATCACACATGCTGGATGCTAAGCCTTTGCGCGCTCCCACACTACGTTCTAGCCGCAGCCAGTGCCTCTCTCCACTACATGCAGCTTAAGTCCTAAACCATTACCAACATGAGTGCGCATGTTAAACTGTAAAGTAACAACTATTTATACTGCTAACGAACTGACGTTTCAAGATCTACGCAAAAAAGTTTGCCTGCACGAACAACCCTGGCTAGTGTTGCTACTTGGGTTTGATTCCATGCATACAGAAAATAAATCTAACGAAGGCAGTTTCTACTGGAAAAAAACTGAATACTGTGTTTCTAGACCGTTACGAGCGATTCGTAAAAATAGGGAAGAAAAGACCAGCAATGCTGAAAAAACGCCGCGGGGCGAATTGAAGCTTCAGTCGATTCGAAAAGAGCTACAGAGGTAGGTCGACGGAAATTTGAAATGCAAAAAATTCATATTCGGCAATCTTTAAAGATTAAAGTAGTTGTTCAGTAGTTGAATACTTTAAACGGCCA